GCCATCCACCTCCCAGGTTTCATCAAAAATCATCCCAAACGCCTCACCTGTTGTCTACCGCTTGAATCGCGATGTTTTTGTTCGTTTTTTCTTTTATTATTTACGCTGTCCAAAACACCCTATCCCTGTTGCGCTCCGTATCTCTCTGTTCAACATTCAAATCCTTCCGCGACCCCGCTCTGCCAGAAAGCTGGCGTCATTTGCTGGCGGAAAGCCTGAAATTACCGTAAAAAGCCGTAGGCCTATATTGTCGAATGCCTCCATTTGAAATGTTTTGATAGTGGAAAAGGCCAAACAGTTACGGTACCAGGAATACTGTTTGCTGTTGTGTGTCGATGGACAAAATACTGCTTACATATCATTGTATAAATTAGATCTAAGACGACAAAGCACAGTTTTGCATTAAAATTGTAAAGTTTTTGAGCAGATACTGTTAAGTAAAATCCCCATTTAAAGATAAACTTTATTCAAAGCTATTAATTTAGATTGTATACCAAATGTAACAATTTAGTCTCATCTAATTATGGTCTTATGTGTGGCATTGGTGATTCGTTGTGTCATTTGTGTTAGTGTCTTTTCTGTCATGTTAATGTCACATGTGACATTATAATAATTTTACATCTATTTAATTTTGATGCTCTCAAAGTTAAGATTTAAAGGAATGCATCATCAGTGCAGATTAACTAACATCATTCAGGCATACTTTTAACAAACCTGATCAAAATAAATAAAACATAATCTCCGTATTTGTTGCACTAATATTATTTTCTGTGACTGACTACATGTGCTGAAAAAAATTAGAAATGATATTTCATAAAACCTTTAATATTATCAAAGAAGTAAGGTATCACTAGTGAATGGTAAGCCCGCATGCATACTTTAAATGAATGGACAAAAAAAAAAAAAAATCATTAAGATGTCATTTATGTGTATTCGTAAAGTCAGAGGGTGTTCTAATGTGTAAGTTTAAATGTTAGAAAAATAAACCTGCTCTTCAAAAGGAGTCATTGAGGTGTCAAGAAAAACAGGATGGGGACAACTCCCCAGGAAATAAGGACAATTTATCTTATCACAATCAATGGATAAGAGTAGGCTATATAATATGTAACTTTGCAACCATATTTGTTTTGACTTTTTCCTGAAGACGCCGGTATAAACATCTAATTATATTGATCTTACAGCCTGGTCCGTATGAAGTGTCAAAATGGCACCATTTTGGGGTCACCCCGCCAGACAGGAATGTTTCAGATCAGAAGATTTTATGGTTGGAGACAGTTGTGGTCTTTGATTGTAAAACACCATGTGGCCGCACTATCTTTTAATTGCTTGATGTTTTCTGAAACAAACTGCTAATGCTATTACCTACCATAAGATAGCAGCTACACAGAGAGGAAGGGGCGGACCCCTTGCCCCGGACATGATGGAAGCGATCTTCATTTTCAATTTAGCAAACGGAGAGCAAACACCTCAGAAATTCAAGGATCTGTGATTTTAACCAGAGCCAAAAAGACCTCCTAATTTCACCAATGGTAAGTTCACTTCATCACATGTTTAAAACTAATTTTAAAATACTTTTTAACATTTTATTTCAAATAATATGAACTATTATTGACTATTTCATATGGTTTATTTATAAGCCAGAAATACTTAGTCAATTTAACAGCGCATGTCAAATAATATAAACTATTATTCTCTATTTTATGTTTTATTTAACTGTGTAAGGCATTATATCATAATGTATTAGATTCAAATACTTAGTCAATTTAACATTTTATTTCACATAATATCCACTATTATTCACTGTTTTATATGTTTATTTAGCTATGTAAGACAGTATATTAAAGTGTGGACCTATATTCCGGATGTAATAGATTAAAATGTGTATACTTGGTAATTTAACTACTTATTTAATATAATATCAACTATTATTTACTATTTGATATGGTCATTTATCTGTAAGCCAGTATATTGCGGTATCCACATGATGTTCTTATCACCTATTATTCACTATTTTATTTATTGGTGTAAAACAGTTTATTGTCATGCATTAGATTAAAATGTGTATAGTCGGTAATTTAATACATTATTTCATTTATCTAATATGTATGGGTTTTTTATGTAAGTCAGTATATCGCAGTGTGACCCTATAACCGTAGTGTATTAGATTAAAATGTGTATACTTGGTTATTTAACATCTTATTTAATATAATATCAACTATTATTCACTATTTTATATGGTTTATTTATCTGTAAGTGAGTATATTGTAGTGTATTAGATTAAAATGCTTATACTTGATAATTTAACATTTTATTTCGCGTAATATCCACTATTATTCAGTATATGGCTTATTTATCTGTAAGTCAGTATAGTGTATTAGATTAAAATGCTTGTTAATTTAACATTTTATTTCACATAATATCCCCTATTATTCAAAATGTTATGTTTTATTAAACTGTGTAAGGCAGTAATTCATGGTGTAATAGATTAAAATACTTATACGTGTCAAATAATATGGACTCACTAATTTATATGTTTTAAGACCGTATATTGGGGTGTATTTGATTAAAATGCATATAGTCAATTCAACATCTTACATCATTTAATCACTATTTATGTGTTTTATATTCAAGCTTTTCATTTCTTAAAACTGTTTGTGACATTTCGCCTGCTCAGAAAGACTTAAGAATCCGCAGCATTACTCAGACGCATAAAGGATACCTCATTAAGTTCAGCACATGTTAAAACTTACTTTAAATGTTTATAAAATTAATCACTATTTATGTGTTTATACACCATCAAAGCTATTTCTTTAAACTCATTTTTGTGACATTTCATCTGATCAGAAAAGATTTAAGAGTCTGTGACTTTAGTCAGACGCATAACATCACCTCATTAAGCTCAACAAGTTGTTTAAAACTTACTTTAAATGTTTAATAAAATGAATCACTATTTATATGATTATTTATATGCAATGCTTTTTATTTCTGAAAAACCTAATTTATAACATTTCATCTGCTCAGAAAAATTTAAGGCGACTGCGACTTTAGTTAGACGCATAACATCACCTCATTAAGTTCAAGACATGTTAAAATTTTGCTCTAAATGTTTAATAAAATTAATCACTATTTATGTGTTTTATTCAAGTACATTGCTTTTTATTTACTAAAAACCTATTTTGTGACATTTCATCTGATCAGAAAGGTTTAAGAGTCTGTGACTAACCAGATAAATACATCCTCATTAATTTCAACACATGTTTAAAATGTTTAATACACTTAACATCTAAATTTAGTTTTTATTTTATAAGCTTTTATTTGTCAATGCTATTTCTTTAAACTCATTTGTTTCATTCTCTCCCACAGACAACGTTGATCCATCCGTAAAATCATATCCATGGATACTCTGTTCATCATTCTGTGGATATTATCCTGATATAATAAAACTTTCCCTGAAAACATTCCTAACAGTCACCCAAAGCAGATTGTCGGGTCGTAAACACACATCATAAACACACCGGAACCAAGCACGGCCAAAAGGGCACACAAAACCACCTGTTGTCATAAAACCATCCCCCATGCTCATATCCTGTCATAAAACCCCTCCCCTTCCTCATGACCTGTCAAATCCATCAATCAAGGGTCATATATCATTTTTGCATTATGGTGCCCTATATATACTACGGTTAGTGGCAACGTCCTGGAAGTGTAGCTTAATTGTGATCGTTTGATCTATGTCATATATGGTATAGTATCATCTTATGCTATAGCATATCAGTGCTAATATACCTAAATAAAACTATAGTAAAGTTTTACAGTAGTCTGCTTTTTAAAACAGGATTAACAGCAATCAGGCACTTTGCCATGTAAGATATCAGACTTGACAAAAATAAACCTGTCACTCACCACTGTCACTTTCACAGTGTTTTTCACAGTGAGAGTGCTATTGTTGTTTGAAATGATGTATCCTGTGTTGTCCAGTGCAGGATCTTTGTTATTCACTATCCATTTTATTGATCCTTTTGCAAAGTTTGACTGTATGCAGTTCAGCAGCTTTTGCAGAGGATATAATTCATCTGTTGTGAAGTCCTTTTGTTCTGAAAATAAAACCCATACAACTCATGTCACCCAACAATGAAGAAAAAACAAACAACATAATAAATATGATGGACCTAACAAATGTAAAGGGTTTTACATTAGGCATTGACTCTTACCACTCAAAATAATCCAAATAAATTAAAATATTCATGTGCTTATTGTTTTATAAAGATCTAATGTCAAAGTATACTTACATTTTGTAAATGACAAACTTTATAGCGCAACTGTAAAAAAAAAATTGTAACTGTAAAAAAAAAAGATTTTTTAGGCTACCTTGTTTTAGTGGTTAATCATTAAGGTGTGTGTATGGTACAGAGAGTCTGTGACTGTATGCTCATCAAATATGATCAAAAGTGTTAGTTTTGCTTTAGGGAAACGAGGTTGCTGAATACATACAGTACAGGAACTGAAAGAGATGCAAATGATTCAGAATCAAAGTCCTCACTTATACTTGTATAATGTATAATATTACGCAGGCGAGGTCAAGCTCAAAGAATTGTGAAAATTAAGAATAATGTGATGGCTTAAAATAATGATCAATTATTTGGAAACATGATCTATTTCATCATTATTGTCAAATGCAATGAAAAATAATAAAATACAAGAGAGCTACAATGGCAAATTTGATTATTATTATTCTTTTAATAATCCATACAGTGTAGAACCGCATGATACATGTAATTACACCAACTGGACAAGAAAACTGATGATTTAAAATGGCAAAGAAAAAATACATTAAAACATCAAATAAAGCTATTTCTCAAGATCTATATGAATGATATGATATTTCTGTTATAAATGAAAGTGCATCCAATCATGTAAATCACAGCATTATAATAAAACGTATCCCTAATTAAACATTAGATCTGTAGATTGTAATCTACAGCGTGTGATTGCATTTTTTATTAATACTTCAGAACATAGAAACACTTCTTCCCAGAAATTAGTAACATTGTACAGTTTACATATACTTGCAGTGTAGAAAACTTGTTTGGAAAAGTCTGTTTAATATTTAACAAAGTAGACTAAAAGTTAATCAAGTAGCTGATTATGCATTCATAAAAGTATCTGAGCCACCATAGCTGTTTGAAGATGTTGCTGCTGAGATAGCGCTGGCTTCAGATACGTTGTACATATCTGCAAATAATCATTTGCATGTTACTTAAAGTATTCTTGTCATGTCATAAATATTAAAAAAAATATATATTAAAATGTATCAATTTTAATTGCAAGACTTACTTCTTCTCCTACGCATCCTTTGAAAGAAACCCGGCCCGCTTGAAGATGATGGTCCTGCACTAGTACTCTGTAATACAGAGATTTAAGATATCAGTTGTAAACTGAGTACATCTATCATTAGGAAGAACTCACGGATCAGATGCATTGTTTTGTTGGAATTTACCCTGGTAGGGTTAGAGCTGGTAAGGTTCCTTAGTGACAGCCTTCCTGCCAGTGCCTCACGGATCTGTAACCATGTGAAAAAATGAAGATTAGAAAAACTCTAAGATCATTTTAACAATGATTGACACAATTTGACACAATGGTTTGTCAAATTGCAAAGTGATAAAAAAATCATTTTATACCTACCTTGCTGTCTAAAAGCGTTCCAAACACCAAAATAAAGAATCCCTGTAGAAGTGTTACAAAAATATATGGAAAATGTTATAACACTAGAGTAAATAACACAAGATGCAAATTCAAAACAAAAAGACAGAAAGTGATACCTGCAGTGAATTGAGGAGTGCAAACACCACATGAATGCCTACTTTACGGGACACCATGGTTCCAATTCCAAATCCCCATGTTAGACCAAAGATAGGAGTCAATATGGCCACACATCGGGCAATGACCACCAGGGCATGTTTCTCATCCGGTTGAGTTGTGGCACCAACTCCTCTCCTCAACATCTTATACAGAACCACAATCAAAACCACAAGGTTTATGGCTACAATAGTGAGAGCTGGAATCACAAATGCCAGAAGGGCCTTAGACTCATCCCAGTTCAGCCAGCATGCTAATTGTTTCGTGATATATTTCTGAGGTCCAGCTGTCGACGCAACAGTAATGACCGCTATGAGCAAAGGTGCACCATAACCGACTATGAAGGCAATGGCCATCATTCTGGCCCTTGACATTTGGGACAAGACCATGACTGTACGGTAAAAGAGCAACAGCGCTGAAATTAACATCCAGAAGAAAAGGGCCAGGTAAAAAAAGTGCATGAAGAAAACCGCTGGACTGCAGCGACCCACTGATGTTGGCTGCTCTTGTTGCGCGACTGCGGCTCCAATGATAAAACAGATGTTTGCGATCAGCAGGGACACGGCAATGTTGACTATGGAGACATGTCGCATGTAGGATGTGTCATTTCTTGTCATTGACTTCCACACGACAATCTCAATAATGAGGCACAAAATCAAGCTGGCCATTGAAATAGCTACGCCAATGTATGTTATATAGTCTAAGGCGATGTCATCAATGGAAAATGGTGACATTAGGATTGAAAAAGAGGTTGTGTGGTCACATTCACATGTAATCTTGCCAGGTTTGTTCCCTGAGGGCTTTACTTCACATCCAGTGGAATCCCATGCGTCAAGACTGAAGTTCCAAAAGACACATTGAGGATTTCCCAAAGACTGATTAGTAATGTCAAATGCAAAAGAAATGTTGTTAACCGTTTGGTTCACCTTAACAACAACCACATCTCCATTGATGCGCACATCTGAATTAGTGTTATTTTTATATTTAATATTACGAGTAGGTAGGACATTGACAAGATTTGTGAAGACTATGATAGTTATGGGTATGGATTCAGAAATCTGCGGTATGAGAATCTCAGTAGTTGAGTTTTCCAGGTTTGATATGCCACTATATCTGTCTGCTACAGTTCTATTTAACTCAATAGATGTTGCATTAATTGTAAAATTGCCATTTGTGAGACGGCTACTTATATTCTCAATAGCGTTTAGAAGTGCAGTGCTGGTGTTGTCTGTCCTGCTGTTATTGTTCAAATTCTCCCATGAGTTAATGGCAATGTCTGAAATAAGGATATCCACTGTTTTAAGGAAATTCTGGAAATGAAACAGAAAATCATGTTTAGTAGAAGCAATTTTTCAGCAGAGTGGATAATGAGTATTATGTACAAATATTTTATTATGATAAATGTTTTTTTGATTAGCAACAAGTTGACTAATGTCTTTCATGCATAATGTACATACCTCCATCACAGGCTTATTGATGATAATGGTTTGTGCTGTATCAGAGATTCTTATAAGTATTCCAACAATTGTTTGGACAGTCACAGGAGACTGTGTTATCTCTTCTGGATTGTCTGCTGTAGCTTTTTTGAGGTCAGCCACAACCAATGGTATGTCTTTTGGAGCCAAGGTCTAAATAACAAAGTAAAGAAAGAAATGTAAATATCAGAAATATTTTAAATATACAGTTGATTAATTTGTATTTTTTTTTTTTCATACATAGATGATAAAAATTACCTCAACTTTCTTTTCAAGGTCTTTGATAACTTGAAGCACACAGTTTGTATCGTCTTCCACTTCCCACTTCCCTGATTTACATCGATAAATTATGTTGCCTTCTTTGCCTTTTTCACAGGGCCCTTTCAAAGTTGCATCCTCTTTTCCATCTCCAAGCGTTGTATTTTTACAGATAAATGCTGGAATATATATTTGATTAAGTTACAGGAAAAAAAAAACGTCTAGGTTACTAATGTAACACCTGTTCCCTGAAGGAGGGAACGGAGACATTACATCGGACTGACGTCATTGGGTGTCGCCTGGAAGCCCATTCACCTCCAAAAAGTAACAGAACGAACCAATAAACATTGGCCACTGAGATTTGAATGCCGAGTTACACCTGGACATACTGTACGTGTAAAAATAGGACCGGCATTACTCACTTCATTCATGTTTTGCTGAAGAGCCCGAGACAAGATTCTGGCCATTCAGTGGTGGTGGTTCAGGGCTATGGCAGGGGAGACGTAACGACTCTGTTCCCTCCTTTAGAGAATGGGAGTTACATTAGTAACCTAGATGTTGCCATTCAGTCAGTCATGCCGGTGGTGAATGAGGGTGTGGTCGAGAGTGAGGAAGCTGAAACCGTCTCAGGGCCGCTTTGATGTGCACTTAGAGGGTTTAGTGGTCTGCACGGGCTGTGCCAACTTCCTGCGGGATTCCCTCGGCGAGAAGCAGGCTGGGAACTGCTGGGCAAAGTCCTCGACAGTGTCGCCGAAGAGGCCGGCCTGGGAGATGGGGGGGTCGAGAAACTTTGTCTGCGTCTTTCATCTCGGCCAGGTCCAACCAGAAACTACATTCCTGGACCACCAGAGTGGACATCGTCTGGCCGAGGGCCCGCGTCATGACTTTCGTCATTCGCCGTGCGCAGCTCCTGCAACAACCCTGGCTCAGAACTAGCCTTGTGAAGCCCCTTGAGAGCTTTTACCTGATGGCCTTGCATGATGGACATGGTATGCAGGGTGGAGGCGGCCTGTCCAGCAGCAAGGGCTGCTGTCGTCTTACCCGCCTTGGACATGAGTTGCGGACAATTCTGCCAGGTGGCGGCACTTTGCGGGTACAATTGACCGTTCGCAGGCCCCTCCCACAAAACGGCCATTGTCCAATCACACATCATAGCAACCGTTACTATGTGAGCAGGTCCGTCAAACATTGACTCCAAGCAAGATGGTGAAGCGGTGCGCCCACGGCGTTTGTAAATCGGACACTAGGTACCCCGAGAGATTGTCTGGAGGAGTTGTGTTCTTTCCGTTTCCAAAGCCGAAAACACAACGTGAGCGGTGCCTACAATGGATAAAACAGTGTGGACGGCCCCACTCCCAGTTAAATGTGTCGAACATGGTTAACTCGTGCGTGCGTGAGACTGAGACACTGAGATTAGTCAAAGAAACATGGAGAAAGCAGATCAAGAGGATCCACAAAGGAATTACGTTTTCTAAAGGGTTGTTGTTAACATGATATTCTCGGGGGGAAATGAGCAGCAGTCAACTAGTTAGCAGTGCAGCACCTGTAGACTAACAGTTTAGACTAGAGAAGTGCACGTTCGCAACGGGGAACGCATGAAGCTTACTTGACAACATCAGTTCATATATCAATATCGTAACGAATATAAATAACCTTAAATAATGTATGGTTATCTGAATCTTCCGTCTCTCATTTATAGTTACTTTTTAAACATGAAAATCGCATTCAGCACCACACGCAAGCGGTTGCCGTGGTAATGAACAACCTGCTTGTTAAAGCGAATGTATAATCCTGTATCTGAGGCAAAATGACTAAATATGCAGCGCGAGTTATATATTTCTAACTCCAAACAATTAGCCACTGAACCAGCTTATAAAATCTTCTTCAAGGCTGTGCTGGTTGCATTTGAGGTACAGGGCATGGGGTTTCTCAGATTTAGCTTGAGACCACTATAAGCATTCGCCTCGATAGTAGTCGTGTCTCCTTCCTTGCGTATTTTTATATTTTGAATAACTGTTATATCCCTCCACTGCATACTGTAACCCCTTTTGCCTCGATCCGGAGGATATCGCTGAGGTATTGCTCCAAAAAAGGTCACTGACACGCGCGGGGAACGTTAACTTATACCTCTTCCCGTCATGGGAATCTGTCGCGCTGGTCGTGTTTGACCATTTGTTTGATGGGCGTAGTAACAATAACTAGGGGGCGTGGCTTTTGCGAACGGTCAATTGCACGCTCCACCTGTGAAATATGGTAGTGAGAGTGGAGGAGGCAGAAGAACGGCTTAGGGCAGTAAAAGGTGCCTTTCACGTTTTCTGAACCTCCCAATGCACCTCCGGGAAGAAAGGCACTGGAGCGGCACACAGCTGTGAACCACGTACCACATCCAGGAACCAATCATCCAACCACGGAGCCTCAAACCTGATGCCCGCAGTGGCCTGGGAAAGCATGGTCGTCAACTCTGAATCCGATTCAGCGTAAGCAACCACCCCAGATAGGGGCAGCTCAGCTTTCTCATCCTCTCCGCAGGACAAAAGCCCACTCCCCGATGCAGCGATCGACATCTAATCCTCATCCGGAGCGTAGAATGAGACACAGGGTGACCCCCACCAACATTCGGCATCTCAACAGCACATGGTATGCTAGAGGAGCGGGAGGTTTAAGGGGCCGGGCCCGACGAAGAAGCTCCCACTATAACCCTCAGATCTCCCAGAGTGCTAACCAGACCCTTGGCTCTACTACGAGAAGAGGCAGGGGGCTGGGTAGCAGCAGAGGGGACTTGTGCCTCCGTATTGAAGGAGAGTAGTGACCGCAATGCCAATATAGACATGCTCTCGCAGTGCTGTTTGTCCAGACATGAGAGACAACGATCGTCGACGTCAGATGAAGTCAGGAAACAACCGCATCCAGAAACACAGAAAGAAATCTTGAAAAAGATGTTGACTGCCCGTGCTTGCTCTTTTAGGGAACTGCCCTTTTAGCCAAAAAGCCCAGGGGTGAATGCTGCACTGTATGCACAGCAAGCTGGATGCAAACACCGCTGGAATGTGCTTAACCACCAGCAGATAGATCCCACAACGAGCTGCAAGCAATAGCAATTAAAATGGCTGTTTTCGGAGAAGCTCTCCTTGTTAGCAATTAAAATTGCTGTTTGCTCTTCTCTTTGTAGAAATTTACTCTTTCTCTTGAAAGATGAATGAAATGAGCAATCGCTGTACAACCACTCGGCTCCGAAACAAAATATGAATGAAGTGAGTAATGCTGGTCCTATTAATACCTGTATGTCTGGGTAGGTGTGACTCGGCATGCAAATCTCATTGTCAGCAATGTTCATTGTCTCGTTCTGTTACCACTTGGAGGTGATTGGGCTCCCAAGCGAGACCCCATGACGTCAGTCCGACGTAACGTCGAATGTGACTGACTGAATTACAATTATTTCTTTCGGACAGCTGAAACAGAAAAACATGTGGCTGCGTTAAGGGTAAAAAAAATAATAAAAAAAATTCACCTTCCGTGCTTTTCAGAACTTTGATACTTTTACTGCCATAGCTGAAAAGTCGTAGTGCCTCGTTCTCCAGCTGGCATGTAAAGGTTTCACTCTCACATTTTCCATTTTCAATTGAATGTATCAATGTGATACATCTGTCCCCTGAGAGCATGAAACAGGTAAATACAATCATTGAAATAAAATAACTAAAAATAGCACTCAGTAACTTTTATAAGAATACACTGAATGTCTGTATGTACAACCTGAAGATGTCAAGCTGTAGCCAGGAGTTGTTGATTTCCAACTAAATTCATTTTTTGCTTCACAGCATTCAAGTTTAACTTTTTGATCTACACACTGGAACGTTCTTACGCTTTCACCCACTATGATATTGGGAATTGGTTTAATATCTATATCTTGCCACTGAATGTAAGGTATTGTCCTTTCTATAATACATGAGTACCGACCTGCAGTTGAAAAAAAAGCATATATACACGTTTATTTATGCCTTTATTATTTTCTAAAGCAAAAAAACAGATTCTGTCATTTACTCATCCTCATCTCATTCCAATCCAGTTTGACTTTCTTTCATCCATGGAACACAAGAGGAGAAATGTTAAAGAAAGTACTAGCCACCAGGGTCGTATGCAGGGTTTTATAAATACAGAGGTCCTTTTTAAAGTGATGTTGCCACCCCCCAAGACAAAACACAATCACAAACGGGAATGCCCATAAGTAAGAAATGATTCAAGGATTATTTTGCATAGATGTTACATTTCAGTGTCCAGAGGCAAATGAGCCATTTATATGAGCATCAACGATTGGTTTCAGCAATTTATTTTTTTCCTTAATTGATCCATGTTTTTGAACTAATCAGTTCAATTAAGCTGCAGTGACGCAATGATTTTACCAATCGGCGATTGGCTCTGATTTAGAAGGCGGGACTTATTCCGCCATATTGAGCGTTGTGACGCGTCTTGTGTTATTCTATAATATTTGGTACAGCCCTGCTAATCACTCTTTTCCATAAAAAGAAAGTGAATGGGGATCCAAAATGACACAAAATGCCACTAAAGTTTCATAAAAGTACTCATATGACTATTCATCTTCTCTGATATCATTAATTTTAGTGAATCTTCACACATCATCACTGTAGTGTATCTGGACTGTGCCAGTTTGACTCAATCAATTCTACATGTGAGAATGCTTTTAACCCTTCGACTCTTATCCGTAACTCTCTCCTCTGGCACCACCGAGTCTGCGTTAAAATTGCCAGTTCACCTGTATACGTAGTTTCATTTATTAAATACATTATATTCATTTGATTGACTGTCTCGTGCGCATATTTCAAAGCCCCTTTAAAGTTGTGATCAAGCTACAACGCTTAAAAATTTGTTGATACTTAAATAGTATTGTTATAGAACAGGAAAGTTAATCCTCGTGGCCAGAGGAATAGCGTCTCCTGAAAGTCTATCAGAGGGATAATTTTTCATGGGGTGATAAAGATCGGATGATCAGTTTGCTGGACAAAACAGATTAGTCGGTACTAAATTAATCCCATGGGGAATTGTCCTTAGAATCGATCTATTTTAGACCATTGACATATTTATATTTAATTATAATTCGTTGTGATTGATTATTGATAGTACAATTGTCCTATTTTTGCCTACCTGTATGGAGAACTGAAGATAATTCGTTGTATTCAGTCATTCATACAGAACATTGGCAACTTATTCCCTTACGGGTAATTTTATAATTTGTAGGTGATTCCCGATCATGTTTCATGATTCGTTATTACAATTATATTCCCTGTATCTGAGCTAATAGGAGTATCCCTACATCACACAAAGCTTAATTTATCTGGTAGAACAAAATTGCCTGATCCCTTTTCTCTTCTTAATTTGGTCACATGGCACATGGCACATGGCACATACTGAATTCGTATGCTGAAAATGTGAGAAAGCACAATAAACCAATATATCAACACAATCTTTTGAAATACACTTGCTGAAATGCTGTTTATGAAACAGCACAAAATAATAGAGTTAACTATTCACCCATTACTTGACAAAAGGATGTCTGCTGGGCTTAATGCAATTATCATGCAGTGACAGGCACACAACAGGTTCTATTCAGGAAACACGACTGAGACTAAGAATGTTCTTTTCTGTAATTCGAGGTTTGGTTTCTATTCAGTGTATCTGAAATCTGGTTCTGCTCCAGACATAAATTATATTTCATAAAAAATTAAGTATGTATTTTTTCTCAATATCACACTCCCAATAAGCATATTTTAATTTATGGTTGTGATTAAAGGGAGTACTGGTAACACTTTATTTTAAAGGTCCAGAATAATGCATTAGTTAAGCAGTAATTAATGATTAACTTGTTCACAATTATGCATTAGTTAAGCATGGACACAATAGTAATTAATGATTAACTTAACATATAGTAAGGGCATATTAGCCATTATTTACAAATTATTAAACATTTGAATGATACACATTTATGCTATAAAAAAATAAAAATAACCTAGTAATTAATGATGAATTGGATATACAGTAAATGCCTTTTAGCCATTTAATTATTAATAACTTAAGCCATATATTATTTTTGTTTAGTGATGTAATTATATTTCTAAAATAGTGTAATAAAGACAATTTGACCCCCTATTCTAAAGTGAAAGTTACATCATCATTAGTTATGGCAGTTATTGAGTGATATTTAAGTTTAAAGTTCGGTTTCGAGTTCGCTCGGACCGTACGCTCTTCTGTCAGTGTGTGTTGTGTTCTGTGTAGCACGCGGTTCATGTTTACATTGGCCACGTGCTTTCATGTCAGGTTTTGTCTTGTGCTGTGCATCACACAGACACAGCTTGTTTTACAATAGCTGTGTGCTTTCATGTTGTCATGGTTTGTGTGAACAAGTGGCTTATGAGTGTTCTCATTAGCTGCGTGTTCATGTCTCATTTTCTGAGCACATGGCTGGTGATTTGTTTTACTGGCATGTGATTGTGTTCTAGTCCCGTTTGTTTTGAGCACATGGCTTGTTGTGTGTTTGCTTGTGCCATGTGCTCTCCTGTCATTGTCTAACCCCGCCCATCTTGTTACCTGATTATTGGTTCATTTGCCCCACCTGTCCTCCCTCGTTACCTGCCTTGTTTGCTCCCTATTAATTCTTCCTGTGTTTTCAGTCCTTTGCCAGATCGTCGTCGTATGTACACCATATGTTTCCCTGCTGTGTGGTTCTGTCAAGTCAAGTTAAGCCAAGCCAAGAGTAGTTGTTTAAGTCAAGTCTGTTTTGGTTTCCCCCTCGGGGTAGTTTTTGTTGTCTGTTTTGTTTTATTTCATTATCATTAAAAATCCCATCAACTCTGCACCTGAGTCCTCGCTACTTTCATCACACCCATACCTAACATTTGTTTGCTGTAATCCACATCTTTAGAATCCATAAGACTGGGAGGAACAGATCCAAATTCAATTGTGCATACTTCATCTCCATTCTCAACAGCGACAGTAAACAAATCTCACACTTATGAATTAAAAAATTGCCGCCTCAAAAAGCTAGACGCAACACGTTTTACGGCAGATATCAAACGCTCATTCGATTTCGCCTGCTTCGTCACAGATTGCAACATGCCGTGAAGTGGGATACCATTTTCATGGATTAATAACTTAAATTCTGCTCTGTACCTGATACAAAACTGTTATATATCACCAGAATGGACTGCGACACCGTCCTTTGGACTACTATTGGTACCGCTTTTGACATTTTCTTAATAAAGAAATTAATGTGATTACACTTTTCTGTCTGTTATGTTTTTCTTTATAACTCTATATTTTTAAGAAATTGTTATGGGTAGGTTTAGAGGTTTGAGTGTGATCAGTGGCTCAAAATATCTTTTTAATACTATATTGTTACTAAAATGGTAATTTTCCTAAATATTTCTGTCCATTACATTGTGTATCATTTTATATTCTCAATCAAATGGTTAAGTTTAGGGATATAACATTTATCTATAAAATGGTAAAAGGGAAATTATACAGATATCTTTATGTTCCCTTTCGAACGGTCACTTCGTATTGCGTAGCTATACGCAGTGGGGAAACTCCTTTTCCTCGATTTACTGAAACCTATATGTAAAACGCATTTGCAGCTGCACAGCTAGCACACTGAGCGTCTGGCACGCTCATAGGCTGTGCTGCCGCAACTGCACAACCAATGGCGCGGGCGACTCTGACATACAGCCAATGAGCTAGCTCAACGTCAGAGCCCGTCAAGGGGGTGTGGTTTAGCCTATAAAAGACCCCCGAATTCGCCATTATAGCAGATTTTACTCCTTCAGCGACAGTACACATGTCCCTGAGCTTTTTACTGTGAATTCGCCGTCGAACAAGCCTTTCAGCCTGAGCGAGCTTCTCATCAGCAGACTTCGCCTGCACGTCGATTGTCTCCTGACGCCGTCTCACCTGTGGCTATCCGGCGACATCCTATATCCTTTATATTATTGTGATTTGTTTCAGAATGCCTCGTTCATCCTGCGCCACGTGCGGAGGCCGTCTGCACGAGGCAGACCAACACGAGAGCTGCATTTCCTGCTTGGGTGTCGACCACGCGGAGAATGCACTCTCTGCCGGCGGATGTGCGGCCTGCGACTGCATGCCTATCTCCGTGCTGCGCAATCGGCTAGCTCTCTCTCGAGACGGCGATGCCGCTTCAACCACGCTTTCCATTCCGAGGAAGAAGAAGCGTCGCAGCCAACGGCAACCGGAGGGTATGGAGATTTGTGAACGCACGCCGGCCGCGTCCCCGCGTGCTTCACTTTCTCCGACTCAAACGCCATCACCGGTCCTGTTCACAGGAGACCAACGCCCCCCCCCCACACGTGGCGGGCCTCGTCTCCTTCGGCGGATCTCTCGAGCGCGACGACAGCATATCCATCGCCGCTTCTGAGGACGAATGGCCGGGCTCTCTCGACCCCGTCACCGCTTCTCAATCCGTGGCCAGTGGATTAGCGACCAGGACGAACTCCGACGCCGAAATGCTTCGGATCCTGACGAAGGCCGTCGCGGACCTCGAGCTAGAGTGGGCCTCGCCCGAGGAGCCGCCTCGTAGTCGACTGGATGGATGGTTTCTGGAGGGGCGCCAGCAGGCCCCGCGTCACAAACCGGCGCCATTTTTCCCCGAGGTCCACGAGGAGCTAACCAAGGCCTGGCGCGCTCCTTACTCAGCACGTGTGGGTTCTGCAGTTTCCGCGACGCTCTCCTCCGTGGATGGCGCAGCGGAAAAGGGTTATGAGTCTTTGCCGCCCCTCGAAGAGGCCGTGGCAGCTCATCTTTGCCCGAGCACTGCAGCTAGCTGGCGAGCTAGAGCCGCTCATCCCAACAAACCCTGCCGAAACACCTCAGCCCTCGCTGGACGCGCATACTCCGCCTCCGGTCAGGCTGCATCGGCCCTGCACACGATG